AATAAAGACGGTTTGGTTGGATGTTGAAGCTTCTTATATGGCTTGAGAGTATTGATCGAAATGCAGTATGGAATGATTTTGTTGGGATTGATCTTAATTGGTAGGTAATGAATTTGTGTAGTTCATATTTTATAGTTCTAGATGCTCAAGTTTTCGTCACTTTATGAGTTGAATATTTACGTAGAAATTATTTTTTTTATTTTTTTTAACATTATTTAGAATAAACAGTTTTTGAATATAAGTATGTGGTAAATATTTAAGATAAATAATAATATTTATATTTTCATAATATTTTAATTTAGAATAAAAAGTTTTTGTATATATTTATGTGATAAATATTTAAGATAAACAACAACAACAACAACAACAACAACAACAATTGATTAAGAATAAAATCTAACGTTGTCTTGTTTTTCATTAGGCGGAAATTTAGCTATTATTTTAAATAAATCATTTGTTTTTTATATATTAATAGGTAAAGAATAAAATCTAACGTTGTGCTNAAATGAAATACAATGTAGTTGATAAGGCATGCTATCCCAAAAATCGGTTTCTCTCCCTTGTTGTGCTATTTTTTCTTTTACAATTAGTACGTAACCCGTGCGATGCACGGGTTGTATTTTTTTTAGTATATTATAAATTGAAGTGTATTAATAAATAAAATAGTGAAATATTATAAATTAAAATGTATTAATAATTAAAAGAGTGATAATACGTAGGCAAGTTGTCAAATAATAAAAATGTTTTTCAAGAAAAAATAATAGGTAATTAAAAACTTATTTGTACACAACATTATTAGTTTGAGTACTGGAAAACCCGTCGTCCTACAAACTAATATTTTCAAGTCATTACTATTACTTACACACGAAAAAACAACATATAATTTGTCATGACTTAAAATGGATTTTCTTTATCATGATGCATACAAAACTATAAGTAGGAACTGGTACAACTGGAACTTAAATGGAAGCATAAGATCAGAAGGATTTATTTCATATGATAATTTACATGGTAGTTTGACAAATGCTATTAGCTTATTATTTTACTATCGATTATACTTGATTAGCTAAAAAATATTTACTAATAGTTTTATACTTTTTTTTAAAATTATTTTGTAAGTAAAACATGTTTTAAAACACTTAAATTTTAAAACACATATTTAATGTTCTTTTATTTAATTAAAAAAGTATTATGTATATTATATATATATACCTTAATCTAAAGGATGTGTAAAATAATTGCACAAATAACATGTTTAAAAATATATAAAATATTAAAATGTGAATAATATGTATTACCGTCTTAAGAAAATATTAGTAATTATATGCATTAATAATATATATTACCGACAAAATATGTATGAATATTATGTATTACAACCTGCAAAACATTAAACATTACATCTTATAATATAAATATGAAAATATAAATAATTTTACATTAATTCATGCTAATTTTTTTAAGCCGAGCAATTTTTAATTGGACAACTGCCCTATTATACGTATGAAAACTTTTTTTATAGTAAATTTTTATATATAGATATAGATTTTTCATAGTATATTTTGTGCATGCGAAAAATAGAAATATGTTTTACGACACAAAATTTAAAAAATTTTGTTTTTAAAAATAATGGTAAGAAACAATTTGTATATATCTCATAACCAATATTTCCTCCATAAACAAATATAAATAATCCTATAAAATTGTATTTTGTGTGTATAACGCATGCCAATCTAAATCGTTGATTCTAATAAATATGTTAAATAAAAAAAAAAAAAAATCCTTTGTAGATGAGAACTTTAAAATCGGAAATTATTTTTTGTGTATATATCATATATGCTAATCCAAATCAATGATTCTCATAAATCTGGTAAAGTAAAAAAGAATCCTGCATTACTAAGAATTCCAAAATCAACTGTCTAATTATTTACATAATCTTTCCCTACCAAAAAACTATAAATGTAAATAAAAGAAACTGGGTATTAACTAAAACAAACATAAACTGAAACTCTAATTATATAGAAATTATGCATAATGATTTATTGTTTTATTTAAACTCATATTATATTATTTCTATCTATAGTAAGTAATTAATGTCTTTAGCAGGAAATTCTTTCTAAAGTTAAATTAACCTTATTTTATTTTAAATATATAAATTTTGTTATGATCTTATCCTATATACAATATTTATATTACTTTAGATAATGATGATTTTCGTTTTCTTTTCCAACTGATTATATGTTTCCTTAAATTTAAGATATGTCAATTGGAACAATATGGTATGCTTTTATTTTGTATATTTTAATAAAAAGTAATATAAGCTCCGATTTAGGAATAGAGACATGATATTATTTGTAATTTTGAAAAAAAAAATCACTTTCATATAGAAAGGAAATATAATATTTCACAAAATCGTTTTTGTGTTTAAGAAAGAATTTAATATTGTTGGAATTCTATGAATCATTAAAATATAGAAATCTTTTAAATCATTTGGATTAGTTACGTGTTTATTTAAACAACTAATAGTATTTTAGATAGTTTGAATTTTAAGAATCACAGAAATCTTCTTATCTAATTCATATTTAAATTCGTTTGAAAATGTGTACGGCATACTTCAAATTGAAAAACAATCCTAGAGCTTACACACAGGCACCATTCACATTTTTTTGAGAGATCAAATTTTCACATACTGCAGGACCATTCATAGTATCATATGAACTAATAATACCCATATATTGCTGCAGTGGAAAACAAACTACAAAAGGAAAGTAATAAAAGAAGACCAATCCCATTCCATATTATATACATCGATCGAACAACTAAAAACGTTACTTTAATCGAACGATAATACCACACATTACATCACATAAGATAATCGGATGTTCAATAATATATCAATGTACGACTGATCGGATTTTTTCCTCCTTAGAACGAAAACCCAAGTGATCGCCTCCAAAAATACGAAAATACCTCCCAAAATTGAGTTCAAGACAATATACGCAGTTTTCCACTTGTTCTCGGGTTGTAAAATGCCGAGACCTTTGAACACATTGATGACTCCGAGGATTAGAATTGTATATCCTATCCCGTGGCGGTAGATATTCCAATAAAATCGAATTTTGTGTTCTTTGTTGGGTCTCAACAGCAAGGCAAATATCTATGTATGATGATGTGAAACATAGAACAAAACAACCACATATTAGCAAAAATGGGATCACCATATTCAGAAATAAAATTGGCTTAGAGTTAAAATGATCTCTAATCGTCATTCTATATTCAAATGATTCAATTAAAAGCAACAGAACCTGTCTTGCATGCACCTAAGAGTTACCGCAGCTTGTTTACGAACCTGTCTGCCTCGGACTATGGCTTGGAGCCTCACCAATCCTTTTAATGCCCTTAAAGCCCTTCTTGCCTAATGAAAATCCCCCCATCAACATTTCATTACAAATTCAATACACAAAAGCCACCAAAACTCAAGCAGGCAAAGAAAATCAAAAGGTGAGATTTTTCTGTGTCACATTATTTTAATCAACTCCCAATTGCAACATAAAGAGCCAAGAAACCAAAAGGTGAGATTTTTAATCAACTCCCAATTGCAACATAAAGAGCCAAGAAACCAAAAAGTGAGATTTTTTTTTCTTTTGCTTTTCTCAACTGAACCAATCCAAACAGCAAATCTCACATAAAAGAAGAATGCAAACAAATAAAAGAACATTTTTTTTAATTCAACTTAAGAAATACTGACCAAAAATCCTCTAATGGCGGCCCTTCAAATTCAGATTATGCAAATTTTTTACAGACAATGCAAATTTTTACAGACAATGCAAACCTCTCTTTCCCAAACACAATGCAAATTTTTACAGACAATGAGAATCGAAAAGCATTTTCAGAATGTTTAATGAATCACTACATATTATGACTATAATGTACTGTCAAGTATTCAAATATAATGTATATCTAAATTTCAAATTCTTGCATGATTTCATTTCATCAAATACAAAGACATCTACAGATTTTTTAGAATAATCAACACCACAAACTTTTACCAGTTGAATATTCAAAACATTCATTTTACAACATTTTACAACATTTTATAACTTACTAAAATTTCTTTAAGATCAGCAAGAGTAGCCCTCCAAATGCTTGCGGCAGTCAAAAACCACCATCCTTGATTCAGTCACACATTTTCCTGAAAAATATATATCAACACAGAAGTTTTACCAATCAAATAAAGAAATAGCAAAGTACATGCTGCACACGGTCCCCATGGACTTGAAAACATCCAATTCCATCTTTAGAAAATAGTTGTAGATATTAAGACAAAAATGAAAAGACAGAACACAGTTCCATTTGATCAAGATGCCCAAAAAATTACATCAATAGACTAAGTATATGCTGCAATTTTGTGTTCCTCGATTGAGTTACATGATAGCTTCCATTAGCCATATCTAGAAATCAATGACACAAACATATATTTAGAAAAAGAAGTGCAAGGTTTCAGTAAATGTCAGGAAATTGAACAATATGCCGTACTTTTTACTTAGAATTCTACTTTTTATGCATGTCTTAATTCAGTCTTTTATATTTTCAAGAAACCAAAATTCAGTTCACACAAATTTATGAAAGATAGACGGTTTTAGATATGTAAGCATGAGATGCAAAAGTTCCATATTGCTTTCTCTTAATTCTTCTTAAGCTTCAATACACAACCCTAAGGAGACACCATTAAATATTTAAATAATTTACAACAATAAAGAATCAAGCACGATCATTGAGTTACTCTACCCAGGATAGCATAACCATCAACAAAGCAAGTAATGCACAACATTAAATCAAATTAAACAAAAAATAAGTAAAACCCAAATGGAAGACTTACATTGATTCTATACGTTCTAGGATTTAAATCAGATTATGCGGACGGGTACGACAACGTATTGCAGATGGCGGTGGAAAAGTGAGCGGCGACTGGTAGTGTTCACACCCAACGCACCCTTTCTTCATCTGAAGCAACGCACGGGTCCCGGGGCAGTACACATCCACTGACCGCAAAAAGTCAACTGGCAGCGTAAATCATCAAATCTTTTCATCGACAAATCATGTTCATCAATTACTGTTGCACTAAAATTGTCTTCTATGGATCTTGAAAGCTCCTTAGCAATGCAATTTATTTGTCTCAAAACTTCTGAAAATTGAGCTTTCCTTTCATTTCTTTTCTTTTTCATATCTTCTAGTAGAGGCATGATCGCCTGAAGCTCTTTCTTCAAGCTCCCAGAACTCTGAATTCAAGCAGCAGAATAGCAATAGTATTGGAAACATACAAACACATTACATATTATAAGACTAAACATAACTTTTTTTCAGGTTTATCTATTCACCTTATTTACATGAATTGGTCGATCTCCCATTACAGAAGAGATGTCTGCAAGCGCGCTTCGGCATTAGCAACTGCTTGTCTTAGCTGGGCCTGGGAACGGCTCGCCTGATCCACTTTCTTTCTATAAGCATCCAAACACTCTTGCTCAAGTTCAAAAAGCATTTTGTCCCTTTCGTTATCAGCTTCCCCAATTTCATCCCATATTTTCTGGTGCAAGTAAGAATTGTGATAGATAATGAAAAATTTAAGTGCACAAAGAGAAAAAACAACTATGTATTCACTATACATATGAGGTACTTAAAAACCATAATCAAAGGTAACCTGTAGCTCAAATAGAAGAGATCCACAAGTTGTTCCCATTTCTAACGCCGATCTGTGTTCCAGTTATTTGAAGCCTTTTGTCCAGTATTTGCCGAGGGTATGTGCTTTTCCCCCATACAATGTGCTCCAACCATCTCACAAAGCTTCTCCACAAATTCTAATAAATTTCTTCTGCAGGCTACTTATGTTGTTTTTCTTACTACCCCATTTGTGAAAATATTAAATACATTGATTACAACTTACAAGACAAGGGTTGCTGAGTAATTATAGATTCGGGCTTTAAAGGCTTTCGGTATATATAATCTGTCACTACTGATGGTGGGGTAGAGATGTTAATATATTCAAAGTAGCATGGGATAAATAGGTGGCCATCCACTTGCTGCATTCCTCCTAACCCTTTTTATTAGTATTTTTCTTCTTTCTAGCACATAATGATTTACCAAAGAAAATCAAACAAAAGAAAGAACACATCAAGAAATAGCCTCAAAAGTAAAAAAACCATTCTACATAACCGATACCTTTATTTTTTGAGAAATCCACAACCCAACATCTTGAGCGGCTTGTTTCTTGAAGCAATTTTCTCTTTTTTTTGCTGTAAGAAGTTCTTGTCCTGCTCCTTCTGCAATAACAATGACCATATGCTCATTTACTTTGATTGTTTTCTTTCCTTATAAATTATTCCTGTTATAGAGAACATAGGACGGGCAAATGATTGAACTATTTAAAAAAAAAAATGTTCCATGATATTCACTTCAACTACCAAGCTTTGTAAAAACCCCTGTAGAAAAGAACAACATACAAATGAGTCTTACAAATGTAACTTGTATATTTAATTTGTGATTATACTAAATTAACAGGTAGCTTCTTTAATTGCCCAATATATTATAATGCCAAAGACTACAAGAATTACCTAAACAATGAAGATACTCAAGGCCAATGACAACTTCTGCTGCATAAAATCTGCAAGTTAATGATGAAACATTTATTTGAAGGTCAGAGAATACTTAACACACATCAATATCCACTATTAGTCCACCAACTCTTCAGGAAGAAAAAAGTGACTATAAGTTTAACCAAATACCTGGCTGAGTCCTCTCTAAACATTATCAAGGACTGATTGTCGAGCAACGCAAAAAACTCTCCTCAAGGACAGAAATCCGTTATCAAGCAAACATGTGTAGGTGTCGAGCACGCATAAATGCCGCGTCATCCTCAGGCTGGACGAATCATTGGCCCACAAAATGTCGATTCTCGGGGTTGTTCGGATCAGATAGAAGTCCGAAGCAGATCTGCCTATCGCCACTATCGTCTTTCGACGCAGTCGGCGTTTACCATATCTCCATCCCACGCACCCCACTTTGCAGTCCTTTCTCAATAACAACAAATTGACGGCGCACGAAATTAGACTGTCCAACAATCTGGCAACACGAGGCCTCAGGCGACTGCTCCGTCTCGATTGATATAAGTCGTTGCTCTGTTGAATATTTCAATTCGAAATCTCTATTTAATTAACACGCTCACATTGAAACCAAAGGTAACCTGTAGCTCAAATAGAAGAGATCCACAAGTTGTTCCCATTTCTAACGCCGATCTGTGTTCCAGTTATTTGAAGCCTTCTGTCCAGTATTGACGGAAAATATGCAAAAATCACATGCCTAGAACAAAGATTGAGGGGAAACGAATATACACTAAACTGGGAAATAATCCATCACAAACACAAACATTACATGACATAATATAGTAAGCGAAAAAAAAAAAAAAAAAAAA